CTTAGGGTTTCCCCTTAGATACGTTCCGTGGTCTTGGTTTGCTGCCGAGTGTCACACTGAGGCCCCTGTATTTTAAGGATCACAGGACTATGCCTCCTAATGCACAGGGTCCGCTGACATCAATCATTTGAATAGCCATTTGGGCAAGGCAACAAAACAAAACAAAACAAAACACCGGGCACTGTGGACCACTGAGAAGTATTTCTGAAAAACAGACACAATTTGTAAATTTGGGAGACTTCCTAAAAGTTCCTTTACTTTTATCAAGCACCCAGAGATTAAAAAAAAATTCTTAGTATTTATTTGTTAACTCAAATCAACTTCACCAAATACACCCTTTTGTAATATGATATAAGAAATTGGATAGCTAGTATTCAAGTGTGGTTACTGAAACATAAACATTTCATGGCTATTTCTGGTTCATAACACCATTCGTTCACACGCTAAAAGTAAAGCTGGGATGCAGTGTGTGGGACACCTTTCCGTAGAAACGCATCATGTCACACTGCCCCTGCTTCAGAAAACTGTCGGCCAGATTGGGGATGTTAAGCCATTACGTTCTGACTGGTTTTAACTTTATTTCATCGGCATGATAAATTATCTCAAAGCAAATACACAGATAACCACGACACAGATCAAGAAACAGAATGTTGCTAGCACCCCAAAGAGGCTAGCACCCCAAAGCCTCCAGCACGTCCCTAACTGCAAAGGTCTCTCCTTCCAAAGGTAAACAATCTACTACAGTATGCTGCTTCCTGTTTTGAAACTTTATAAATGGAATAATGCAACCTATATTCCTTCATGTTTGTTTTCTCTCTTCCAGGTAATGTTTGTGAGATTTATCGTGTTGTTACTTGTACTTGGTGATTCACTAGTGTGAAGTATTTCATTATACAAATAGCCCATAATTTCTTGATTCATTCTACATTAGAAGGAAATGGGTTGTCTTCAGTTTGGTGGGATTATGAGTCATCTTTAGATCACAATGATCTTAAATTTTTTTTTCATAATTTAAAGAATTGTTTCCTTATTTAATACACATAATAAAGTATTCTCAGAATAAGTAGATATACTTAATGACCTGCAATTAAAATGACAGACATGTAATGATATATTAACATAACTGCTTAATGTTGTGTTTGTAATTCATATTCCACTTTTAACTTCAGGATGATCACTTGGTATGGTATAAAATATTTATTTGCCCAACGTGCATCTATAATGAATATGGCAATTGCTGAGGGAGGGTTTCTAAATAATCAAATATCATTTTTCTTAATCAATGTGCCAGATTATTTAGGATTTTTTGAAATGTTGCTTTCTCTGCTGTAAAATGACAAACAGTCCTAGATCAAATATATGCTATTTTTTCAACATCTTTTCCCCCCAGTTAATTGGCTTCTAATGACTTGATTAGAGCTATTGAAGGAATTTACAAGTTGTTTCAAGATTTCACAGTAGAGTTCAGCAAGATATTCCAAAAAATTTTTTGCAATGTATTGGCCCCCTAATTTGGCTTCCAGAAACGTGTGTAGAGAATATACGTGTGTGCAAAAAATAGGAAAAATGCACAGATAAAATGCCCAAGAAGGGTCATTAAGAACTGTTAGTAACAGCAGAAACGATCAACTTTAAGTAGTATAACCTCTTGGTATAACCGGAAGAGAACTGGTTCCGCAGTCACACAACACGAACTCGTCGACTGAGCGATGCGCCGAGTACCCGGCTACACACTGGGTGACCCAGACAGAGCTGGGTGGGTTCCGATGGCCGCCAGGAAGATCCCAACTCTCCTCCTACACGCTCAGATCTACAGCTACAGGAGGAGCAATTTCCTCTGAAAAAAACAAACTAAAGGCTGGCTGAGCACCAACACATCGGGCAAACAAGACAAAACCCACACCTAGGCGGGCAGGAGGGGCCGGGCAGTCTCACCATAAACTCCCCCCTGGGGCTGCAACCCGCTGTGCGGAGGGGACGTAAAACCTGGAGCTGCTCCCAGGAAGGAGGCCTGCGTCTCACTTCAAGCCCCCGGTATTTAAGGAATGAGCTTCCGAAACCTCGAAGACATTTGAAAACGAACTGGGCTCCCATCCCCGAGACCCACAAGGCTGCAGGGAAACAGAAACGGCCGGAAAGGCCCAGCTAGGGCTCAACAGCCGACTTGGCTCAGCCCGGGGCAGCAGGCTGTGCCGGGCTCTGCTTATTTGCTTATATTAAAGCGTTGGCCTGAGGGGCACAACTCGAATTTGACACATACATTTATATTTGTGTTAATTACTGACACATATGTGTTCAGACACAACTTCCCATGTAGCCAGTTATGCTTTGGATACTTTCCAGTCTTCGAGCCAGCGATAAACAGGTGGAAGACAGGTCTCAGCAGCCTGGAGCAGCCCAAATACTCTGCTTGCCACCAGCCCTGCTTGCCAGGCAGACCCCTCTCTCGGGGCCAGGCGTTGTTCCAAAGAACAGAAGACCAGCGTCAGACCAGAGAGCCCCTGTTCCCTTTCCCTGATCTTAAAGGACATTACCTTCTGCGGTACAGCAGCCACACTCCTTATTATCGTGCCCCCCCCCCCGCCCACACAAAATCAGTGCCTCTGCCAAATGACAGATTTCTACATGCATTACTTTTAGACTATAATGAAGAAAAAGTATTTGGTGGATTGAATTGAATCAGTTAATGAAAACCAGCTACATTCCCCAGGCTGAGTTCAAGTCTTGAAATGTCGCAGTTCCAAGGGAGAAGAAACGAATACCAAGAATCGTAATAGGAAGACTATTGTAACCAAGAAGTAAACACACTAAGTATAAGATATATTTAAAATACCTCAGGTTTCCAAGAGAAACCAAGTATAAAAATAAGGTTAGAAATCAGAAAATCTATTTTTTTAAATACTGACCTAAGGATATGTTTAGAGAGAGGAAGGGAGGGAGGGGAAGAAAGAGAGAAACATGGATGTGAGAGACAAACAGATTGGTTGCTTCCTGTAAGGGCCTCAACCAGGGATCGAACCTGTAACATTTTGGTGCATGAGACACGCTCCAACCAACTGAGCCACCCAACCTGAGCCAGGGACTTATTATTATTATTATTTTTGGTACAAAATGTTCCAAAGCCCTGGTCAGTTTGGCTCAGTGGTTAGTGTGTTGGCCTGCGGACCAATGAGTCACGGGTTCAATTCTGGTCAAAGGCACATACCTGGTTGCGGTTCGTCCCTGGCCCTAGTCGGGATGGTGCGGGAGGCAACTAGTTGATATGTCCCTCTCACGTGGATGTTTCTGTCTCTGTCCCTTCCCCACCCCCCTGCCCCACTCTATCTGAAGATAAATAAAAAAATATCCTCTGGTGAAGATAAAAAAAAAAGTTCCAAATATCTCACAAGTGACAATAACTAAACATAAAAGTGCGGAAAGAGCCCTGGCCGGTTTGGTTTAGCGGTTGGAGCATCGGCCTGCGGTCCAGAGAGACCCGGGTTCGGTACTTGCTAAGGGCACGTACCTTGGTTGCAGTTTGTCCCCGGCCCTGGTTGGTTGTGCAGGTGGCAGCCACTCGATGTGTCCCTTTCACGTTGATGTTTCTCTCTCTCTCTCTTCCTCTCTCCCCCTCCCACTCTACCTGAAAAATCAAAAAATGTCCTCAGGTGAGGATTAAAAAAAAATAAGTGCTGAAATTGGTCATTTATTTCCTCTCTAGCATAGTATGTCTTTAACATTGGCTACACTTCTGTCTATATGCTTTTAAAAAAATAATTTTTCTTTATTGATTTGAGAGAGAGAGGAAGGGAGAGGAAGAGAGATAGAGACATTGATGAGAGAGAACATCGATTGGCTGCCTCCCACATGCCCCGCACTGGGAATCAGGCCCACAACCTGGGCACGTGCCCTGACTGGGAACTGAACCAGCGACCTGTTGGTGCATGGGTCGACGCTCAGCCACTGAGCCACACCAGTGGGCGGTCTATATTCCTTTTAAGGATATTTCCTGTCTTGAATTTCTATCTTTTAAAGAAACCCCAAATGAACTGGCTATTCCATATTCTAGGAGGAGGACTTATATACTGTGTGTGTGTCAAAAATCACAGAAATGCACACTAACAGTGGTGAATTTTCCTGTATGTAACTATATAATTCAAAGAAGGAAAAAAATTGGGGCAGGGAATCTTAAATGCATTAGAGTGGATTTTAATAAGCTACTGCACCCTAAGCAACCAACTTGGGTGCCAAATATCAACGTGAAATGACATAAAACAAACACATTATGAACATCCAAAAATCTGGATTTACAATGGAAATGATGACAGCTTCTGAAATTAAACAGCACTCAATCACTAATTTTCTTTGAGGGTAAGATTAGTACCCTGCTGGGCTTATAATTTTGTTTTCTCTTTTTGTGCTGTTCATGTGTAAATATTGCCAATTTCATTTGACACAAAACAGGAAAACAACTTAATTTTGTTTCTAAACTGGTGAATGGCACAGAGACTACCCTCTCTACGTGAGGCAGTGCAATATAAGCTTCCTGGCAATGATTTGAGGGGGAAAAAATCGAACCATTTCAAATGTGTTTGTAACAAGGAAACAAATTTATTGATTTTAAAAGACAAGACACCATTTTGTTTTGAAAAACACAAGAAAGCTAGCCTGAGTTCAAGTCTGAAATATTCAGAAAAATCCTACTAATATCTTTAGTATGTTCCAGTCATTTGTTTAAACAACACACTAAAAGTTAATATATATTTTTATAATTATAAAAGTTCCCCAGTTATTGTACAGTACACAATACAAATTGCCCACAAACTATTATTTAGCTCCTGCCAATTTTGAGAGGACATGATATACTAAAAGATTTAGCATTTCTCACAAAAATCACATCAGGAAATACGTATTTACAAAATCAAATACATTATACAAAAAACCATCACATGTTATTCGGTAAAGATGTTTTTAAATAATTAAAAAGTTTCTTCAACTGTAGTCCAAAAACTGGAAAAGAACATTACATTATCTCACACATACAATCTCTACAAAAGTTGCTTACCTCATTTACATAATATATTCAGTCGATTGCAAAATAAATGTTCAAATATCTCCTAGTGTTACTATGTTTCTGTGCTTGTGGGACTGAATAATGAAATCTGCCACTTACTAAGTGAAATTTAAACGATGGCACTTAAAAAAAAAATACAGTATTTTAAAAAAAACACAATGAAAGAAGTTTTACCTAGAAGGTACGAAAGCCCTGAGTGATAGTAGAATTACTGATTGGTAAGCACTACAATTAACCTAATTAAAAGTTTACCACCCCAGGCACAAATTTCCAAGTTTTCTCAAGGCACTCAAAGTTTCTGTGGCCAGCGCACTGGTCACCACCATAGGTCCCAATTGATGATGGAGATGAGTCAAGAAAAAAATTTGCTTTGGTACAAAAGATGCTTTTTAAACGAATAAAATTCAATACTTCCTTTACTGGGTCATTTATAATTGTATTTAGCAGGTTAAAACAAGGCGATCACTTGTTCAAAACTGTTAATTCATTGAAGAAAAAATTTACGTGGTCATCAACAGTCAATGGGAGTTTTTATTTTTTCTTTCCTCCCCAGAATCATAATTCTTCAAAGACTGGTTGTCCTCATTATTGAGCTACATAAACAATTCTTACCAAAGATTTCATTACTCAGGGCTTCCAATCCCAACATCATAATTTATTTTAAAAACAAAGGAAAGAGTGGGGGAAAAAAGAATCAAATGCCAGAACCAATAAAAGAAGAGACATAACACATTTTTTAAAATGGCATGTACCAATTACTTCACACAAAAGGAAAAAAAAAAAAAATCCTAGGCAGTCACTTTGTAAGTGGCTTTTACTATTTAAGTAAAATTGGTAAACTAAACTCAGGTCTACTGGCACATAAAATCACTAGCAGCAATGATCAGAGCATGCAAACTGAGAAGCATTTACAGTAAATCATCATGAAAAATTCAAAAGAAGAGAGTTAAATTAAAACCCTTTGAGTATTGCATGTTAACACATGAGTAATTTGCATGGTCTGACTTCCTACACTGCCTATGAAGCAATGTTTACGGCGAACTTGCACTAGGCGGTGGATGTCCTTTCTCCAGACAGCAGAATAGGTTGCACTCATATCTGCGCCCGGCTGGGGCAGCGCAAGCACATCGGCGGGCGACACTGCTCTCTGTCCGTCACGAGGGCACAGAGGAGGCCAGGGCACGCTGCGTCCCTTGACCGAGTCAGCAAGTGTGTAAGCAGACTGGCATGTACAGATATCAGAAGCAGTAGTCATAGCATCTCCTGACAGATGAGCTTAAATCAAGTGCTTTGCTCTCCATTCTATCTATATATAATTTTTTTGACAAAGTATTAAAGTTTTGGAGCATAGATAAAATTATGCCCTGTATGAAATTCCCAAACAATAGGGTATGAGAGATCTAACTCCAAACAGCTTACCTGCCCCCAGAGAGTTCAGCTTTTTTTTAGCCACTCGAACTCATTTCTTCCTAAGGCTTCACTTTCTAAAGCTAAATAAATGAGATCTTTTGTTTTGTTTTGTTTTGGGAAAAAAATGTAACCCTTTCTTTATCATACCTTTTAAAGGCAATCTAGGTACTTTCAATGTGCAGAAATCGGTTATGACATAGGTCTACAGGCCCATGTATTGTCCTCCTTTTCTAGAGTCATGCTGTGATGCTAGAAAAGTTGATTCTTTTTTTTTTTTTCTGTAAACAGTACACTTACTTAGATGGCAGTGAATATTTGGGAATAAATATATCAAGCCCTCTTGAAGAAAATTAAGAGTTGTATATAAAATGCAAGTGTTCAGCGTGAAAACACTTTCTCTTCCTACCCCCCCTTAAAAAAACAGCATAATTAGACATTTGGATATAGAGTATATTTTACCGGTCTAAGTCTAAATAAAGGATCTGAAAGGCTTTTGTCCCCCATTGTATATCTTACAATGCTCAAAGGGTTAATACAAGGCATTACATCAAAGGGGTTTTCTAACACTAGAACTAAGCACTGAATTAATGCTTCTATTCCAGTTTTTTTTTTAATCATCAAACTTGCAGAAATACTAGGATTCCATTAATTGATTTGTTCTAACCATATACATGGAGGTTGCTCTGATCTAGCGACAAGCCCAATTTCCAATAGCACTGCATCTCGGCCTCTCCCCCATGTGCTGGTAGGATTCATGCAAATCCAAGGTCTGGTTTTGATTTTTTGGTGGTTGTTATCGTCTCACCAAGAATTTGGGGAGGGGAGGTTAAAACAAAGGTCAATTTGTTTTATATAACCACTGCCTCAAATTGTACACAAAGGTGACTTGCCAAAGTCTTTTTACTTTCTACTTGTGTCCACACAGGGAGGACCAGCGTCACAGTGACACACGTTTTTTTTTGTTTGTTTTTTTTTCCTTTTAAACTAATGTTTCAAGCACAGCATTATTTTAGACATCTCAAATATATCATCTGAAGAATTTTTTAAAATTTGAAAATGCATCACATTTAGCACTTCTAGAGAGTGCATTCATGTAAAAAGGTTCATAATTACAGTAATGAAACCGTGCTCATTCCTGAATGATTCTGACAGCACTCTACAGAGACATGTTCATTCTCACTCGTCTACGACAAATCAAAGGCAGCCAACGTTGCACACTACTAATTTTCGTTATGCAGTGTTAAGACCATTTTCTAACATTTACTTTTGTTTTTAAAGTACACCATCTAAAGAGAGGTGCGTGAACCGTGCTATACAGTACAAGAAAAAGCACAAAAAGGAAAGCAGATTTCTGAAAAGGCAGTAAGACTTACACAGTCAGTCCAAACATAGTTTGGATGAAAATCCTGAAAAAGTGACCAGCCACTTAAAATCCCCCGCAAAATTTTTTAATCTGGGTCCTGTGTTCCAAAGTGATGGTTCACCCATTTCACCCCATTTGTTCACGGACTTTATGAATGAAAGTCTTTTAGGGATGATTCTCAACATACATGTGAAGATCAAACTATACTCATGTCACTTGATCTTATTATGTATAAATACCTTTTCTGAAACTTAAAAATAGTCAACATATCTTCTTTATATTTTTCCTCACTGAAAGTGTACCACTTGGTCTATGAAGATATTTTTCAGGACTAGTGTTTGATTACAAGGCCAAGAAACATTAAGAAGTTCTTAAAATACATCCTTGTCACTTGTCAATAAACCTCTGAGAGTATTAGTGTCTAATATTATTTAGAAAAGCCAGTTTCAATGAATAAAAAATGGAAATATAAAATGTTTAATAAATGTAGTTGCTCCAATTTGCTCAACTGCATAAATTACGTTTTTTATTTTCTAATATATTTCACAATTCAAGTTCAAAATTTTTTGTGATTGTATATGTGTATGTCTTACTGTGGACTATAAATAATAGGATGTAGCATAGATCATAGATATTATTTGTCTTTTGGTCAGAACTACCTACACTGGTCACAAAGAATTAACATTGCTAACTGTATTTATAAAGGAGATCAGAATATTTTTAGTGAGTCAAGTTGAAATGTAATATTTATTAATTCCTGATCTGTCTAAATTTAGAACAAACCATGAACAATTGGAAGAAATGTTGAATCTTGGAGGATCCCCAATCCCTAAACTTTCATTAATCTAAACCTGCCCATTATTATCAGATTCCTCTAACAAGACAAATATATCCAACATTAATTTAAAGGAAACAATGATAATAAATACATTTAAAAATGTTCAATAAACGAAATGGATACCAGTAAATACATTTGGTCCAATACAGATATAATATAGTTCTGGGGGTAGTGGATAAGATTAGGAAAGTGAAAAAATGAAGAAAGGAGAGTCAAAAAGAAGAGTGTTTTTTTTTTGTTTTTTGTTTTTTTCATTTTTTGACTTAAATTTACCGGTAAGCGTATCCTAATGCACAATGAAGTAGATACACGGTCTTTGCAGCTCAAGGTGTCTTGTTTGCCTTTTTTTGTATGTGTGATGGTACAAATTCGTTGCCTTTTTGGGAGAAAAAAGGGGGATGATCATTTAAATGATATTTAGATAAAGGTGATGAGCTAGTAAAGACTTTCGAATATATGAGTTGTATAATACAAAATTTGAATCAATTTAAACAATTACATCTAAAACATTTAACATTTACTTAAGAAACTTGTTGATCTTAGTTGTTTGAGTAGTCTAAGGCAATCGAGCAACTATATACTGCGTAGTACCCGATAAGCCATTTGGTATTTGAACTTTACAGATGGGCTCACCCTCTTCTTTCCACCCCGTCCCCACCCAATAAAACTGGAAAGATAAACCTCTTGAGTTCAATATAGGCCTCATTAATAATCTGTAAATCATTTTGTGCTCCCCCCCCTTTTTTTTTGGCTTTATGTATTTATTTTTGCTGATTAGCTTTTAAGAACTATTTAAATAAATGGATGTGCCTGTTTTTGTTGTTGTTAATAATTTGAGTGCTTAAAAGAACCTTGGCTTTTCGTGTAAATTAAAATGGGATGGGTGTATCCGCTCTAGGATCACACCTCTGACTTCACAGCTGACTCCTGCCCGGACACTCGTGTGTGCATGTGGACACAGACACCAAGACACAGACAGACATTTAGACTGAAAAGATGCACTTCGATAAGTACCTACTTATTTTATCTTTCTTAAATTATAACTAGATAAGAACGGTCTAACATATATATGATTTTATGTAACAAGCTGGTATTTAAAACTAGCCTGCTATTCCACACTCTTAAGCAATCTGACTTATAATCAAGTAATATTCAGCCCTAAGAACAAAAAATAGGTTCGCAGTCACTCAAAGAGGGAAATTGAGTTTTTGTCATTTTGTTTTGCTTTGTTTGCCCTAAATTTCCTTTGAAGAACATGTAACCTGTCCTTACTTCGGGAATCTGACAATGACAGGCACAACTTGTCAAATGGATTGAAGAGGAATTCACATGAACAAAACAAGCCTTACTAAACCTTAGCTTCAGTTCTGTTTTAAGGCACCATGTTGTAGCCGAGGTACGATGATCCCTGATGTACATTCTTCAACGGCACTGCTCCATCCAGCCACCTATCCAAATCCTACAGAACTGGGGATAAGCAACAGTATGGTGTGCCAGTTACACTGCCTTCAGGTTCTGTTTAAAATTTAAATCCACATACTTTAGAAACCAGGAAATATTTTTGAAGGAAATAACGATATGCAGGTTGCTACATTCCTTGCATTCTATAAATTTTCTTTTATAATAGCAGCATATTGAACTACTATTAGGAAAAAAGACCTGGAATAAAAGAAAGTCATCCAAATGGAATGGTTTCCTGTATGTCCAGCTCAGCATAAGTAGCATGTACACTTAAAAAAAAAAAGTCAAGTCATTTTTTTTCAGCATCAGTCTCTAACTCTAACAGCCCCACCCAACAGCAGAATGCACCTGTGCAGTGGTCCCAGATACAGAATCAGTAGTCATTAAACAGAGGAATTGGTATGCAAATAACAGTTAAAATTCAATGTTTAACGGAAGCTTGCATTAACATGATTTAATAATTATGTACACAAATTATGTACATATTAGCATAATCTCTTGCAAATTCTGTCATTTACTTTGAACTGATAAATGCACAGCTCAATTTTTCTTCCCAGAAAAATAGATGACCTTCCCAACCCTCTAGCACTATAATAAAAATGCTCTGTATTCTTTCTCCATACTCCAAAATGTTATCAAAATAGTGTCTTGTGGTTCTGCCCAATGAAAAGCACCTTTCAAAAGCAAATTTGATGCATCTGCTGCCAAATGGGCATGCCTCCAGTGTAAATCAAAGAAATTCATTTCTTTTGATATTTCACAGAAGTGCATCTAATTGAAACTCACACATGAAATCATACACCAAGACTAACAATCAACAATAAAATATTTTAAGCTACAAAAATGTAAATTACTTTTAATTATAAGAAAACAAAAATATTAAGTGTTGTAAAAATCCTTCTTGACACCTGAAACTAAGAGAAAAAAAAAACTCTTATTATTAAGAGGCAAATAATTTGTTTACGTTAAAAAAAAAAAAAGACCTGGCAAAATACATACACCCATTCCATTTCACAACTCCAAAAAGGTAATGTTCAGCACAGATAGAATTTGACAACAGTCGACCTTCAGGCTTATTAAATTTTCAACTTAAGCCCAATATCAACAGGGTTTATGTTAGCTGGAAAAATACACTTTAATATTCTTTAGACTGCAGTATAAGTATTTCCTGTGGCGCTGCACTGTCTGATAGTCTGAGTACTCGTGACAATGTGCTCGCTGTGGATTGGATTCAGGAGGCTTGGCTGCACGCTGCTCTCAAGAACAGGCTGCAGACAGCCCACCGGAAATGCCTGGTTCAGCTCGGTTTTCTCTCTTTTGGCTTGAGGTTCTGAAGAGTCATCTAGTTCTTCATCCATTTCACTTTCCACTTCACTGCCTTCATCTGCACCAACAAATAATATTGAGACTATTACCAAAAGATGAATTGGAAAAACAGCAATCAACACGTGCTTTAGAAACACTTTAACATAGTACATTAAGAAAGCAACTTCTAGCCCTGGCCGTTTTGGCTCAGCGGTTAGAGCGTAGGCCTGTGGTCCGGAGAGACCCGGGTTCGGTTCCTGCTAAGGGCACGTACCTTGGTTGCAGTTTGTCCCCAGCCCTGGTCAGGTCGTGTGGGTGGCAACCACTTGATGTGTCGCTCTCACGTCAATGTTTCTCTCTCTCTCTCCCTCTCACTCTATCTGAACAAAATATCGAAAAATGTCCTCGGGTGAGGATGAAAACAAAACAAAACAAGAAAGCAACTTCTAGCTCTTCTCAGGGGTCAAAGCTTGTAGGTTTTCCTTTCAATGGATTCTACTTGCATCAGTGCTCTGTTAATGAATCTATAATTCTTTTTACACATAGTAAAGGTAATTTAGTTTTGGTTAGTTTGTGAGTAATACCTTTAATAGCTCTTTTAAGTAGACCTTTGGAATTTCCTAGAGTTTTTGTATTAAATAGTGGCATAATTTGTGTCATCATGAAGTAGTCACTTTGATACACCATGTTGCCTTTTGGGGAATATATTGAGGTGGAAAATGTTAAATAAAAAAGGAGGGATGGAGGAAGAAAAATTTCAGTTTCCTTCAAAAATCTAACTAGATGTAAATTTTATCTGTGTTGATATTAATGTAGGTGAGACCAATGATGATGATAGACATCAGGTATAAGCATAGGTTGCTGTAAAGACTCTCTCCAAATGTTGTAGATCACAATGTTAAATAGGCCCTTGTTTTTTATTACAAAAAATTATAAAGACAGAGGCAGTAGTATCAGATTAAAAATGCACAATGGATTTCCATTCCTGGTAACACTGATACTCACTGTTAATAGCTGGTATTCATTTCTGGAAATTAAATGTATTAAATAGTCACTGTTACCTCCAATTTTAATATTTTATATGAACTAAAACATCATTATAATCGAATCCCATTTAATTTTTTCCAGCAGCACAGTTAAAATTCAAAAGTAGAGAGAAAATGCTCACACTGCTTTATTACTAAGATTTCCTTCTGAAGAGTGTAGAGAATATCGTTTCATGAGTGATTATTTCTAAATAGCGCAGAACATATTTCTGCCTTAAAAACATCTTTGCTTCACCTTCAACATGTTTTACTGTTTACCAAAAAAAAAAAAAAAAAGATAAACATATAATCACATTAAATACCTCATCTATCATTAAAATATATCTACACTGCCCTGGCCGATTTGGCTCAGTTAGAGTATTGGCCCACAGCCGATGAGTAGAGGGTTCGATTCTGGTCGAGGGCATGTACCTCGGTTGTGGTTTGTCCCCTGCCCTGGTCGGGGTTGTGCAGAGGCAACCAGTCGATGTGTCCCTTTCACATCAATGTTTCTTTCTCCCTCTCTCTCCCTCCCTCCCACTCTATCTGAAGATAAATAGAAAAATATTCTCGAGTAAGGATTAAAAATACACACACACACACACATATATATACATACATGTATTATTATATTTTTAACTTCTAGTGACTTGTAGAAACAGAATCAAATCTCCATGATATTCTCTCCTATCACTGTACAAGTAGTTCTTCAGCCGGATTACAGTAGACTCTTTCCAAGGTTGAGCTGAGTACTACCATGTGGGGCACACCTACCACACAAGTCCCTGCTAATGCAGCTCTTGGTATAAATGGGCCCCTTGCCTTGTCTTTTTTTATTATCAACTGGGGCAAAGATGGGTCCAGAGAAAACTGATTAGGAGTAACAGGGACCTCCGTGTGTAGCTGTGCAGTGCACAGTTGCCAGGAGCAACATCTCCTGAGAAATGGTGTGCAATTAAGAAGGTTGAATTTGGATATCTTGACTAGAAATGATGTCCATAATGCATCATTAAGTGATAAACACAGAAGAACTCTTAGATGAGGCAAAAGACATCTTGGCCCATCTATTTTACATGGTTACCTTTTTGCCTCTGGAAAACAGACCTGATGATAATATTAGATTTGCTAGAACAAACACATTTGAGGGGCTGGTGGGATTTGGGGAGAAGGATGCATTTGGTAGACATTTGCTCCATCAAGAGGGTATGATCAAAACATTACATTTTGTTAATGCATTTGTTTATATATAAACAAAACGAGAAGGATTCTCACACAAAATTCTTAATGGCGGTAGTCTCTTAGGGTCGCGACTATGAAATTTCACTTTCAATAGTTTATAATTCTCTGTATTACTTGAAATATATATATTTTTTATTCTCACCCATGGACATTTTTGCATTTATCTTCAGATAGAATGGGAAGGAGAGAGGAAGGAAAAGAGAGAGAGAGAAACATCGATGTGAGAGAGACACACCAAGTGGTCATCACCCACATGACCCCAATTGGGGCCGGGGACAAACCACAACTGAGGTACGTGCCCTTAGTGGGAACCGAACCCCGGACTCTCTGGTCCGCAGGCTAATGCTCTAACCACTGAGCAAAACCGGCCAGGGCTACTTGAAATTTTTATATAGAGCTAATATTTTATTATCAGGAAAAACATTAGCATTCTCATTTTGTGGGAAGAGCCCACAAAAAGTCTTGAAGTTGTCACATTCAAGCCTTAGGCTCTGATTATGCCGGTCTGGCTCTGTCTCAAGAAGCACTGGGTCTGGGCTGAATGGGACCAGCAGGGCCACACCAAGAATGTGAGGTAAAATCACACTGCTTCTCAGCTCCTTCTCTACTTTCTTTCCTGTGCCTGAAAAAGTGTCAAAATAATAATAGTAAAAACAAACAAAAAACAGCACTGAAAGGAAAAAAATTTTTCAAGCGGGTAGGCAAGTGAAGAGAGAGCGAAGAGAGTCCTGTCCTCTACCCACTGTGGACGGAAGTGGTGGCAGTGGTGGTGACTGAACAAACTTCAGGGCTCCAGGCCACTTCTGTGTAGGTCCACTTGTGGGGTGACAGGGTTCCTTTGGAGAGGCTACAAAGCAACCCACAAAAGCAAGCCCTTTCTCCAGTTCCTAAGGGTAAATAATACAATTCCACAGGCATCTTATACTCCGATAGACTGCAAGACATTCCCAAAAACCTACTCACGATGATGGACGTGTGGTACACAAGAATTAAGACTAGGTGCTACTGGAGTATACGCAAGACTTTGTTTGGTTCAGCCCTTTACAAAGATTGGCGGCCATTCAGTGTTTGGCCAAGTAGCCACACTCCTACTGCACCTCTGGGCACCCAGGGATGAAAACCCCAAATTTGGGTTGTAGCTTTGGTGTCAGTGCATCACCAGGGTGGTCCAATGCTGGACATGGGTTTCAACTGCCGCCATTCTGGCTGTGCAATTACAGATCAGTAGCATCTCATAATTGACTGACTTTCCTGAGGGCTATCTGGTTAACCCTATAGAGGACGCTGGCAGCCATGGTGTTTGGGGCCATCGTTTTCTGCGTCTCCTGCTGTGCTGCTGTGTGCTCCTCTAACAGGAATGAGCGCGTCCACAATCGGTGGAGGCGTACAGGGGTTCTACATGGGAGTGGTCTGGACTCATACGGGTCTTTCCCGGGCACACTAGTGTTTTCCACTGCCCGGGGGGGGGGGGGGGGGGGGACACGAGCTGGGCGCTGAGCACCGAGGACAGGCCCCTCCGGGAACAGCACTGCCCTCGTCCTTCCTCTTGCCTCAGTGTTCCCACCGGTTCTGGCTGCTTCTTGGAAAAGCTAATGGTGCTGTTCTCACCGGTCTTGGTGCATTTCGTCCCTGACTCTAGAACTCAGTTCCTTAAAAACCTCAAGATACCTTGACTTTTTTGATTTTTGAAGAAAGGCCTACATTTTCTACAGTGTTTGTATAGTAGAAATTTTACATTTTTATGAAAACCGGACTGGTATTTTTATAGGACAGTTTTTGCTTGTGTGTGCTCTAGTCCAGTCTCATTTCCCCCAATCCCTAAGCTTTCGCTCCGGTTTGGAAGAGCGAGACGTTCTCCAGGACTAAATGTCCTACTGTCACAGCAGAGTGCGGGGTTGGTAGGAACGTGTAAGGACGAAGTGATCTTTCCTTCGCTCCACTACTGATCCTGCTTTCGCGGTAAGCATCACTGCTCTCTCAGTTCCCGTCCCACTGAAAAGTGTGCAGTGGTGACAGGTCGGCTGAGGAACCTTCTTTTCTTGCCCGGTAGGCCTTGAATACAAATATTTGGACCAATTTTATCACTTTTCTCTAGGACTCTGGAGATGGTCAGAAACAATAAGCTTGTAATGAACTTCAGACAAAAAGTCAAAATGAGCTTGTAACTGCATTTAAATTTAATTCTTGTATTTAAAGTACCTCACATAAAGAAAGCAGAGAAATGGAGAAACAATGAAGGATTCCAGAGATATAACTGTCATATTCATCTAGGATTGTATGCCATTTCCAAAGAGTAAGAGTGCTAGAGACATACACTACATTTTCCTCTACCAGAATTTCCCAGTAAAACTAAGTCCTTAAAAATGTACAATTTTCATTTCTTACCTTTATCCAGATTTCCAGGAGACACAGCATTTAAATCACCAAACTGCAAAACAATAGTCATTTGTGCAACAGTTACTACCAGGCAGAATGCAATAATATTCTCAGTCTGCAGTAAAAACACCACACTTTGGCTCTTTAAAACTATACCGTAGTGACCATTTTGCTCTCTAACTACACAGGTCATGTCATTTTTCAATCAAAATTGTCTAATTTGAACAGTTTAAATTGTGTCACAATTTAGCTGTCTTAGCCTCTTTGCAAAAGGATAACAATTTTCTCTGCCTTCCACACTCCATTTTCCTCATATTATTTCAACTTCTCAGTGAAGAAGGGGGGCCAGGCAGCCGGACGAGCACGCGAGGCGGAATAGACGTGGAAAGCCCTTGAGGGGGGCTCCCTGCCATGCGCAGCCCGTGAGCCCCCCGGATCTACTCTAGCAAAACATGGTCCAGCCTCTTGGTTGAATTCTTTTTTTCAAGCTTTTGTTAGTTGAAATGAAAAACATAATAGAAACTCCAAAGTTGAGAGTATTCACTTTTATAAAAAGATTTTTCTTTTTATAATTTGACGTTCTTATTTAATAAGATAATAGGGTTCCACTTTTAACAGAGAAATGCATCTGATCATTACTGATGCAAACAAAAAAGAGCTTGAAATAATATCGAACAATTCATAATTTTCAGCTTAGATTTTCCTTTCTACCTTGGCTCAAGAACTTGATGATAACTTTACAATGAGAAAACACATTTGAGAGTCTTAAGGTGAACAAAGATGAATACACTAAATAAAAAATTGAAGAGCAGAAGTAACAAAGCTAATTGGGAAATGATGAAGTAAAACCTGAACTACTTTTTAAACGGCAAACATTACATTTTTTTAAAGCTGAAGATTCAGAATAAGTCATTAGAAATTCAGGTTTCTCAATAGACTTAGATAGGGTGAGACAGAAATGCTACTTACATTCGGAAGTTTGCTTATAAAGAGTTCCATGATAGGAGCATTTTTTTCATCTACAAGGTATGTCTATAAAGTAATAAAACTGATCTTATTTTGCAAACACACACATTTTTTTTTTTTTTTTAAACCTCAACATGTACTGTTCTTCGTAGTAGCTACCCTGGGAGCTTAAACATTTATTCTAAGGTCCAAGGTTCTGGAATTCCTCTTTGACAATTTCAAGAGTCATGGTTTATGTATTATTCAAGAAAGACCATCTTATTATTTTACAACCCATTGTGACTCCAAACAACACTCCAAATTTTATTCACTGTAGTTGATCCTGGGATGAGTTCTGATTACTCACCAAGATCAAATTCATCTGTCACAATTTAGGATATTCAAAATAATGTCATTTTACTCTTATTATTTCTTAGCAGTTGAGAGGCAGTTTAAAAAGAGGCATTCAACTACATTTTAAGCCATAATAACATTACTGGAACAAATGTGTAGCCTTCCTAGGTGACTACTGTGAAGGAGACAGAAGCCTCCCTGATACATAACTCCTGGCATGTTTGTTTGGAAGACTGCCCCATTACTTTATAGGTACATCCCACAGGGAAACAAACAGACAGCATAAACACTGAACTGTTGTTTTAAAGTTGGTCCTAATCACATAGGTCAGAACCTTATATTAGCCAAAATAAAAAAATCAGAGTGGAAGTAATATAAAATTTCTTGGATTAAAGAATACAAGCAACAACAACAAAATCAACGTGACTCTATTTATTTCTGGTATTATTTAAATATTTTAGAACTATAAGCAAAGAATGTCTAAAGTTAAAGGACCATTTATTCATAAGTTATTTCTAATGAACGCAATGCAATAAGATTTTTATTTCTTTTAAATAAGCACTTAACATTTAGATCCAATTCTGGAAACAGTTTGGTGGTGATGATTCTAAACCTATCTCTATACCTATAAAAAGTGTGTCTTCCATTTGTTTTTGAAAAAAAATCTCTAAAAGTTGTTGAGACTACGTTATTATTGGCATTAATGGACAATAGCATCAGACAAAGTGAAAACAAAACTCTGAAAATTTTCTTTAAAAGAAACACTGCTTTTAGTTGCTGCTGAAAATATGACAACTTGCTCAATACAAAGATTTTCCTTAGGAAGGTTCTGTTTGATCTAAGTGGATATATCTGATTATTCAGGATGCTAAAAGCCAAAACAAGTGAAATCTCGGTGACTGCCCTTATCATTAGCAAAATACATTTGCTTACTAAATGCTGTGTGCTCTGGCCACACACTGTGTTGCACACGACAAAAAAATTCTTAGGGACACTGTCAACGCCTCTAGGTATCTCTAGGGTCAATGACAAAATCCCACCTTTATAGCAAATAGAGAGCATAGATTTAAAGTTAAAATATCTTGTGAGTAAGGGGTAAGATTTTGATATTCTATATAGGTGAAGATAAAGGTTTTTATATGTATTTTACATGTGAGGAAAGAACATACATGTAATTAGAAAAATAACACTTTAATCCTATAGGTAGACTAAGTAAGATAAGGAGAATCTGTTTGTTCACTCATTATGCAATAAATATTTATTCAGAACTTAATGTGTGCTAGGCCCTGTGCCAGCCAGTGCCAGTCGGATCGATCTGAAAACACTCCCTCTTTCTAGAGCTGGGTGTCAGAAGTTGCCTATATTACGAAGGACGGGTAGTTTGCCGAAAGTGAGGCAGCCTAGGAAAGCTTCGAGAAGGGTTAGGAAGTACAGGGTCATTAGAAAGAAAAGTCAGCTGCAGGGGTTTGGGGACAAGCGGCAGGAGGAAGGGGCAGGGAGGCGGAGAGCGGGCCTAGGAAGTCATGTCACAGCCAGGGAACAGCTGCTGAATGCCTGGGTTAGGCTGGCGCAAACCAGAAACAGGAGAGGAGGAAGACATGAACTATTTAGATGAAAAAACGGAGGCTCCAGAAACAGGACAAACTTACTGCTTTCTGACTTCCCTGCTGCACAGGGCAGGGGAGGGGGCTGCTCCTCACTGAGGTGACATGCTGCAGCTTGAAAAGTACCTGCAGGGTGCAGTACCTGGTAGGCTGGTTTCTCTCAGACAGTGTGACCTAGGAACCACCTTCTCAGTATCACCTCCTCAGAGGCCTTCCCTGCCCAGCGCTTCCTTCAGCGCCTACCGCCACGCCAGCACTTACTAGCTCCCTCACCCACTAGCTGCCTTCCCAGCGCAAATGCCAGTGCCCTCTTCACAAATGTCCCCCAGGGTGTGGTTAACATTACCTGACAGAAGTAAAGGCTGAAATAAATACCAAAAGAAAGAATTTGTGTCCTCATTTCAGCCTTACAAAAACAAAAAACAAACAAACCAAAAAATCCTCAAAATTTGGCAAGGTGGAGAGCTTAGGTTTAATCTTCCAGCTACGGGAAACAATGAATTGATTTGTCTAACATTATATAGCAAACACAGTGATGTTAGATTTGAAACCAGATATTCTGATCCTTGGTTTAGAAACTGGGGTGGGTGGGGGGTATTCCATACATAGAGGAAGGAATATAAATTAAGGGATTCAAAATATGCTCTGGGGTTAGAAACCATATGGCCTTTGATGTATGTAGGAATTAAAATTCTGTAAGCTAGATAGAAAATTTGGGAATGTATAAAAGTAGAAATGGAATGGAACAAAGAGAAAGCATATCCACTGTTTTCAGGAAAAAGACCTCCTATCCTAGAAACCATCTCCACCAGTTCCTGACAAGGAATTATACTAATGAACACCCTGCTGCACAACAGCAGATTAAAAAGTCTATGGTCAAGTCAGCCAGTGTGTGTGTGTGTGGTGTCATTGAAAAAAGAAATAGAGGAAGATACAAAAAAGTAGAAGCACATACCTTGTTCATGAATTGGAAGAATTAACATCATTAAAATATCCACACTACCCAAAGGATTCCATAGATTCAATGCAATCCCCATCAAAATACCAATGACATATTTCACATAACTAGAATAAATACTCCAAATGTTTATATGGAACCAAAAAAGACCTCAAATAGCCACACAATCTTGAAAAAGAAGAACAAAGTAGCAGGGATCACAATACCGGATATCAGGTTATACTACAAAGCCACTGTAATCAAAACAGGCTGGTACTGGCACAAGAACAGTTATATATATCAATGGAACAGCACAGAGAACCTGGAAATTTACCCAAGACATTATGCTCAATTAATATTTGACAAAGGTGGCAAGAGTATGCAACAGAGTAAAAACAGCCTCTTTAATAAATGGTGTTGGGAAAATTGGACAGCTACATGCAAAAAAATGAAACTAGACCACCAACTTACATCATATACAAGAATAAACTCAAAATGAAAAAAGACTTAAATGTGACTCATAAATTTATACACATCCTAGAAGAAAATGTAGGCAACGAAATTCCAGACATTGCATGCAGCAGAATTTTCACTGATACAACACCTAAGGCAACAGAAACAAAAGGAAAAAATCAATACATGGGACGACATCAAGCTAAAAAGCTTCTGCACAGCAAAAGAAACAACCATCAGAATGGAAAGGGAACCCACTATATGAGAGAACATAATTGCCAACGATATATCAGATAAGGGGTTAATTTCCGAAATATAAAAGGAAGACAAAGAATCCAATTAAGAAATGAGCAGAGGACCTAAACAGACAACTCTCCAAACAGGACATACAAATGGCTAAGAGACATATGAAATAATGCTCACCATCACTAATCATCAGAGAAATGCAAATTAAAACAACTATGAGGTATCACCTCACACCTGTCAGAATGGCTGCCATCAACAAATCATCAAACAACAAGTGCTGGCGAGGGTGTGGAGAAAAGGGGACTCTGGTACACTGCTGGTGGGAATGCAGACTGTGCAGCCACTATGGAAAACAATATGGTGTTTCCTCAAAAAATTAAACATGGAACTGCCATTTGACCCAGTGACCCCACTTCTCGGACTATATCCTAAGAAGCCTGAAACACCAATCAGAAAGAATATATGTACCCTTATGTTCATAGCAGAGATATTTACAATAGCTAAGATCTGGAAACAGACCAAGTGTCCATCAATAAATGAGTGGATAAAAAAAGCTGTGGTACATGTACACAATGGAATACTATGCAGCTGTAAGAAAGATCTCTTACCCTTTGGGATGACATGGAGGGACCTGGAGAGTATGATGTTAAACAAAATAAGCCAGTCAGAGAAAGACAAGTATCCCATGATCTCACTTATTTGTGGAATATAATGAACAAAATAAAGTGATAAACAAAACAGACCCAGACACACAGAAGAAGGTTTCAGACTGACAAACTTCAGAGGAGGGGTAGTGGAGAGAGGAGAGATAAATCAAAGAACTTATGCATATAAGCATAACCAATGGACATAAGACAATAATGCTGGGGGCAGGGGCAGGAACAGAGGACGGTGTTGATGGGGGGAAAAATAAACATCAGTAACAAAAATTAATTAAATAAAAATAAATAAATAAAAGATAGCAGAACTCAGGCACAGGGGCAGCAACTGATGAAGGTCATAAAGAAACAAGAGTCAACTTTTTATTTTATTTTTAAAAAAATCTCATCCGAGGATATTTTTCCATTTATGTTCAGAGAGAGTGGGAGCAAGGGAGTGAGGGAGAAAGAGAGAGAGAGGTGGATATGAGAGAGACGCATTGACTGCTTGCCTCCCGCAAGACCCGACCATGCCCGGGGAACGAACTGCAACCGAGGTACGTGCCCTTGACCAGAATCGAACGCACGACTCTTTGGTCCAAGGGCTGACACTCTAACCACTAAGCAAAACCATCCAGGTCCTCTCTTGCACTTTTAAAAAATCCTGTGATCACATTGGGTTCATCCACATAATCTAGGCTAATGTCTTTATTTTAAGGCCTATTAATCAGTAAACTTAATTCCATTTGTGACCCATCATAGTCACAGATCTTTGGAATTAGGATGCAGACTTCTTTGGGGGCCCATTATACTGTTTACCACACCTATCTATTTTTTTAATGTTTGTTTTTTTTT